TGTCCTGGCTGCCCCTGCAAGTTCTGTTCCTTGTGAGAGACTTTTTTTCACTTGCAGGTAACATAGTCCAAAAAAATAGGGCAGCCTTGAGCTCTGAGAATGTAAAGAAGCTAGTTTCCCTCAGTGAAAGTAGAGGTGAGGCAGATGTGTCTACTACAATTTGAAAATTTTTTGCTTTTGTTATTTGTGTGGTAAAAGGGCTATTTTTTTATTGAAAGTTTATGCTCAACTATATTGCACTATGTTAAACTTTTGGTCTCTGTTCCCTGAGCTTATTTATGGCACATACAGGAGAAAAAGTGTTGATATTGAGGATAGGGTTAATTTATTTTCATTGTGTCACTGTGTGCCACGTATGCCACAAAGACACATGTTTAATGTCTGAAGGCATGAAATGTGAATAAAAGAGTTTTTGAACTTTAATGTATCTAATGCTGATTATTCATTGAATCATTTGAATTGAAATATTTAAAATACTTTCACAGGAAAAATTATATGCGATTAATTTAGATTAATCGATTGACAGCTGTAATATATATATAAAACCTAACACTAAGTCAAAATGACTCCTAGCTCAAAACATGATACACTAAAATATATAAACATTATTTAAAACACTATGATTACTACGGAAGAGGATTAGGGCCACTGAAAAAAAAAATTATGGCCCAGAAAAAAAAAAAAATCTCTGAATTTTCATGAAAAAAAATAAAAAAAAAAAAATTAAGGTTCCAAAAAAAAAAAAAAAAAAAAATCAGCTTCCCAGAAAAAGGAAAAAAAAAATCTGTGTCCCAGAAAAAAAAATCTCAGAAACCAGAATTCTGACTGATGGGCACCGACAAGCAACCAGCTTCAGAACCACAGACGCGAGTTGTGGCGGTCGGACAGCTAACGTTCTGGAGAAAATGAGTTATTTAAGTGAGTTTTTACGTGCCAGAGGAGTCCCCGAAGCTGCTATAGCAGTAATGGAAGAACAAAAGTTGAGTCAATCAAATGAGATAGTTTGGTGTCTAAAGCCGAACAGTTATGGCTAGTAGTTAGCATGTTTGTTAGCTCACGCGGTTATAGGAATAAACTGATTTACAATATTAAATCACATAGATGAATAAAGGATGTAACAGCTGTTGATTGCTGGAATTGTGATGTTTGGTGCGTTTATTTTATTATTACTGTGATGTGTCATCTCAGGACTGAAATTACATCTCAATCCCTGAATTAAACTATCAGCACATGTATTGGACAGGTGTGGAAATGGTAGGCTTCATTTAACTAAATCAATGTTAATGTGATGTTTAATTTTTGTAATAAAAAAGGAAATGTTCATATTTTCTTGTGACTTTTTATGCATGATGCCGTTTACCTTAAATACACTGTATATTTATGAATCTGTGTTTCTATACTTACATGCTAACCAATCCAGTCCTTCCTCTTTTTCAGTAAAATAGAGGATTGAACATTTACTGCTGCGATTATTGTAATTCTCCCCAAAACAGTAAATCGCTTCAAGCAGGGACCGAAGGATACAATGTAAAGGTAACTTTAAAGTTGATTTGCAGTGTAAATAATCGTCCTTTCTCATCTGTTTGTGTGCAGATTGACTCTGATGTCGCAGCAACGCTGGAAAATTATGGAGATGGAATTGCTGTTTTCAACTTCTGCTAAAGCAAAAAACTGTCCAGAAAAGGCCTTCTGCTAAAACTGTTCCCTTCTTAAAGTGAAGTTTCTGTCATAATTTAATTTTAGTGTCTGATTTGACCTGACATTAGTCTTTAAGCTGTTACTGTGCTAATAAAAGTAAAACATACAGTTTTCCATTTCCCAATCCATACTTTGTTTTGCTTTCTCACTGTCATTTAAAGGAGCAATGCTGATGCAAAGTTAATTATTGTTCTATGATAATCAGATATGTACCAAATGTCAAACCTTTTAAATGGGTATGCATTACGATTAATGTAAGATGTTTTGTTTTTTCAAACACAATGCTGTTCTTTTAAACTAAAGATATTGACAATGTGTTGTTGAGATGTGAACAAAATGGCAGCACAGGAAAAAGGATGTCATAAATTGAACATGTGGAAACCAGTTCTCTGTGAAATACAAATTTAACTTAATTGTTTTGTTTACCAAGTGATTGCATAGTACAGTTGATTAATGTAAAAATAATAATTATTAAAAAGTCATATGCAATTTTTTTCTCACTGTCTGATGTTATAAGACAAAACTTGTCCTATTTTTTAAGTTTTTATTTGCTCTTCCTTTGAGAGTGATCAGACAGGAAAGCCAGTAATGAGAGAAATGAAGCTACACAGCACATGTTATGGAGGTGGGTCTTGAAGGGAGGACTCAGGTGCGGAGATGACGGAAACAAGGTTTATTGTAACAAAAAACACTCATGAGTGAGTGAATGTCCAGACAAAGTACAAATCAAAGCTGTGGAAAACTGTGAGCAAAGTAACAAAGCAATAAGCAAACAAGACTGAAGCAAAACTATGACAAAGTAACAAAATAAAGATTAACAGAACTGTGACAAAGCTGTGGCAAAACTGTGAAAAAAAGCAAACCTGGCGTGGGGGTGACGAAAGACGGACGAAACGGACAAAACGGAGAAGACGGACCAGAACGCACTCGCACAAGACAAGGGGAAACGAGGACTATTTAAACACATGAGGGAGGGAACCCCAGGTGTACACAATAGGTAATCAAGACAAGACGAGACACCAGACGTGACAGCACATATCAGTCCAGGGCTTTAACTGTGATGTCCATGCTCAGGACTGAGGCCTCCATACATGGGTTGTGCTTTTTCACCACTCCACACCAATGTTTCTTGTTTAGTTAGAATTAGCAAAATTGTATTTGCTAAAGTCCAAAAAACATAACGAGAATTTTTTTTTAGTTTTTGTAACTTTCTTCAAATTGAGCAGTTTTTATATTTTTAGTAATTATCAGGGATTACTGTATTTTAATGCATTTAGACTATTAACTTATAGACCTGCTCAAATGGAGAATGAGCTTAACATATTGAAAACCTTACCAGAAAAGTATTGGGAAAAAGTAACATTTT